AAAGGTTTGTAGCATTAAGAGGCTGAAAACCACTGCATTAAGTCCTTTTAGAGGGCTTCTCTGTCGCTGTCCACTCCGATCCTCGGAAAGAAACAGCGACACATGGAGCTCTTCTCGAAGCCGTTGATTCAGGAACCCTTCCGTTAAGCAAAAGCCCTCGAGCCTCTCCTCTACCACCATTAAATCTTTGTGCTTGCACCATTCAGAGCCGGCCAAGTAGGCACTCTCAATTGGATTTTGACATTCCATGTCAGATGGCCTGATGGCACGTTGCAGCGAGTCTGCACAGTATCTACTGCGAACATGGCTCTCTGGGGGTGTTCAAGGAAGTCAAGTGCTAGTGATAAAACTTGGCAGCCGTCCCAGGCGCCATTTGAACTAGCCGCCACACTCGCTTCCCACACTTCTAATAATGCCAAGGAATTTCTAAACCCTTGGGGTAATCATGTCCAGACCAACTGGCTCATCTGGCCAGACAATGGATCTGTCTACTCAAAAGCAAGTATGAGCTGGCTCACTGCTGCCAGGGTAATGGAGAAGGTGGTTTCCTCTAGGTACAGGACCTGATGGTCTGTTGGGAGGAAGGCCAAGCAGAGTCCACAGCTTAGGGAGAGTTGGATTCTCTCAATATGATTATTTATGTACCAGAGAGCCTGGATCAACAGGGCTGTGGACTGACAAGAAGGATGTGTCCCAGGCCACCTGCATGGGAGTGAGGACGTCTGACTCTAACAACCTTGATATGAAGAGCAATCCCTAAACCTAGCCTTTGACTCATAGAATACTGTCAGACACAATCTGATCATTGTGGCTGTAGCCAAGAGACTTACCATGACAAGTAGGTGGTGGGCTGCCAGGCTCAGAAGGTTTGTTCCTTCCTATAAACTTGACAGAACTGTTGTAGATCCTAAAGCAAGTTCTTGGGATCAGGGGTTGCTCCCATTATGGGCTCTAGAAAGGCTAGGAGATATTTTTCAGACATAGGAAAGTTGAGTTCAAAAGCAGGTACAAATGAGATTTAAGTCTCCAGAGGTGTAAAGGTGATGGAGATGTTCAATTCTCATAGGTGTTGTAATCTTAGTATGGGCAAAGCACCGCAGGACTGCCATGAAGGAGTGATCAAATGTCTGTGAAACATATTGTCACTAGAGTGGGGTGATAGTCCTTGACCACACTATTGACCTCCTAAACTGGCATCTTTGTTTGCAACTGGTCTGTGAGTTCTTAAAACAGACATCTACCCTAGTAACCACTAGAAACTAGTAGGTGGCCCCCCACTAATGCTATCCAATAGCTCTCAGAGAGTAGAGCCCAACCTGTCATTTTGATTCACTGTTAATTTTCCCTGCAGCCCAGAAGTACCTTCTTTGGCTTGGAACCTCCAGGAAATTCATTTCTCTGGATGTTCTTTTATTTACAATAAGCATGCTGGTCCTTTTCTAATGGAGGGAGGCCTCTCCATTTTCACCAATTTTTGCGTTACAGACTTGACATGGTCAGTTGAAGGGACAGGTCTAGCTGACTGGAGTGTGGCCATCAAGTTATTGGCCTGTCAGTTAATGGCTTAGTCTGTGGCCTGGGCATCCTATTCTTGTCTTCACATGTCACAATCATTAAAGTCCTTTTGGGCTACTTCTAGGAGCTATAAAATACTCAAGCCTACAAAGCACCTGAGTCTTTGGGGCTTTTTTCTAATGTTAGGAGAAGATTCAGGAACAAAAGTCAAATGTAAATAAATCCCTAGCATTTTCTGGGTATAAAAGGCCAAAAGGGAAGGTCCCAAAGACTCAGGCAGACATTCAATGATCACCTCAGGGTTGCTCTGGCTCTTAGAGAACACCAGTGGTCTTTCCAATTTTTTGTTTGTTTTGGCTTTAAAAAACAGAGTATCGCTGTGTACCCATGGTTGTCCAAGAACTTACTATATAGACAAGACTGGATTTAAACTCAAGAGATGCACCTGCCTTCTTCCTCTCTAGAGTTGGGATTAAAGGTGGGTACCACTACACCCAGCTTTTTACTGTCTGTATCTGTTTTGTTGTTTGACATGGTCTCACATAGTTCTGCCTCTATCTACCAATGACTTATATAGACATACTATACAATTAAGCAGTTACAACAAACTTAGCTAATTTGATTAAGGCATTTTTGTTAAAAAGAAAACAGTTTACTAGATGGTGGTGGCATACACATTTATCCCAGCATTTAGGAGGCAGAGGCAATGGTATCTTGAGTTTGAAGCCAGCCTGGTCTATAGACTAAGTTCAAGGACAGCCAGGGCTACACAGAGAAACCCTGTCTCAAAAATACAAAGAAACAACAAAAAAAATTGTTGCTAATTTGAATTTAGTCCTGAGTTGGGCTACTAATAACGGAAGTAATGGTAAATTACGAATCTAGAAGGGTACAACTACGAGATGTCACAATTGTTTGGTATCCTCAAAAAATATTTAGGTTGAAATTTTATATGATTTCACCTTTTCTTAGTTTTTTTTTTTTTCTTTCAAGAAAGGGTCTCACTATGTAGTTCTGGCTGTCCTGGAACTCTATGTAGACCAGACTGGCTTTAAACTCACAGAGATTCACCTGCCTCTACCTCCTGAGTGCTGGGATTAAAAGCATGCACCATCATACATGGCAAAGTTTTGTTTTGTTTTTAGAAAGCTGTATGCTTTATTTGTCTGTGCAATGATACTCCTGTTTCTACTTCCTAAGTGCTCAGATGGAATGAAAAATTCTGAAAGAAAAGATGTAGAATCAACATCAATTTAAAAAACTTTTATGGGGCCGGGCGGTGGTGGCTCATGCCTTTAATCCCAGTACTTGGGAGGCAGAGGCAGGCAGATTTCTGAGTTCGAGAGTTCGAGGCCAGCCTGGTCTACAGAGTGAGTTCCAGGACAGCCAGGGCTACTCAGAGAAACCCTGTCTCGAAAAACCAAACCAAAAAAAAGAAACAAACAAAAAAAAACTTTTATGGGACTGGAGACATGGCTCAGTGGTTAAGAGCATATACTCCTCTTGTAGAGGACCTGAGTTTGATTCTTAGCACCTACGTCAGGTAGCTCACAAATGCCTGTAACTCCAGGTAATCTGATACCTCTCAGATCTCTTCCTGTGTGCGTGTGTGTGCGCGCGTGTGTGTGTGTGTGTGTGTGTGCGCGCGCGCATATACCACTCCCCCCCACACACACAAATAAGTAGAAATTAAAAGAGAGAAAAAAGAGAATGTTTCTTTGTTGAGAAAGAAAATTATGAAGGGAGGGGAGGAGGGAGGGAATTTTGGTCAGCTATGGTACCAGAAGCCTTTAATCCTAGACACTCCAGAGACAGGTAGATCTTTAAGTTTGAGGCCAGCTTTGTCTACACACAATGAATTCCAGGCCAGCTAGGGCTACATAGTAAGGCACACCTTGAGAGAGAGAGTGGGAGGAGGAGGGTGCAAAGAAGGAAGAAAGAGAAGAGGGGGAGACGGAGAGAATGAAAATAAATAAGTTTTGGTCTTGTGTGATAGGGCCAAGGTTTACCCATCTTGTGTCTGCTGCAGCCAGGTAAGGTCTGACTTAAGAGCTTACCCTGGCCTCCCCTGCCTCCCAGACTTATAAACTTATATACATCTGTAGCTGCCAACCAATGCATGTGTTTTGCCTTTAAAAGCTTCCATGCAGAAGCCAGGTATGGTGGCACATGCCTTTAATTCCAGCACTTGGGAGGCAGAGACAAGTGTATCTGAGTTCAAGTCCAGTGTAGTCTACAGAGTGAATTCTAGGACAGCCAGGACTACTACACGGAAAAACTCTGTTTCAATTGATCAATTGATCAATTGATAGATAGATCAACAGACAGATATGGTGGGGAGGAAGGGGATGGGGAGGGGAGGGGAGAGAGGGGAGAGAGCAAGCAAGCTTGCTTCCTGCAGAAAGCAGTTGGAGTTGCTCTCTGAGAACTGTTTCTCTGCTGGTCTACAGAGTGAATTCCAGAGTGTAGCCAGAGCTATATAGAGAAACCCTAAAACAAACAAGTAAGCAAGCAAACAAGCAAGCAAACTCCACGGAAGGTAGTTGGGGTAGCTCTTTGAAAACTGTCTCTGAGCATTTGATGGCTGGCTTAAGACTCTCAAACGCGGATCTGTTTTTAATGAGTACTGGAGCTTGGGGTCTCTGCCCCGTTACAGCTCAGTTTGTAATGACTGCCTGCTATGCAAGAGGCCTTAGGTTAAATTCTAGATTCAAAACCAAATAAATATATACAATTTAAGTTATCTAGCCCTTAATAAATGCTTCCCTCAGATTACTTGTATTATTTTAAAAACATAGATTAATTTAAGGTTTTTAGTTTGTCTTAAAATATTAAGATATTTTCCCTAATAAATCCAAAAGTATATCACACACACACACACACACACACACACACACACAGTAAATTTCTATAGATTATTGCCCACATTTAAAACTAGTCTTCCTGTAGGGTGGTGGTGCATGTCTTTAATCCAAGCACTGGGGAGGTACAGGCAGGTGAACTCTTGAGTGTGAGGCCAGCCTGGTCTGCAGAGTGAGTTCCAGGACAGCCAGGGCTACACAAAGAAACCCTGATTCAAAAACTCAAAAAATAAATTAAAAATCCTTAAGTCCTCCTAACAGGTATAGAAATTTAAGGGACTAAAAATCCCTTGGGGAACCATAAGAATAGTTTCAAATTCAACAATCTCTGGACACAGTGGCATAAGCATATATATCAGTACTTGGAAGGTAGAAGCAATATCAGTAGTTGAAGGTTAGCTTCAGGTAACCCAGATCATGTTTTGAACCAGCCAGGTTCTGACCCTGTCTTTACAACTGCGACTCCAAAACAAAAGTAAAACCAGACTGTGGGGGCCAGGAAAAACTGAAATCATTTTCAAGAATTTTGCTACAGAAAGGCTTGCCACACAAGGATTAAGACCTTGGAGTTCATGCTGGGCTGTTAAGAAGTTTGAGATCACCAGGAAAGGACCACAGACTCAATCCAGATTATAATTAGATACATTTATTAAAACTGCTAGCTGGGTGGCAGTCTTAAAGTCAAATCAAAGGCATACCACTGAAAGGAGAGGTTGAGGGAAGGATTTTTATAGGCAAAAACCACAATTACTTAATTTTTCGGTGGAATTTGCAGCTATATGAGAAACTCCCCCTGCATACAACAAGTTACAAGTTACAAAAGCCTGAGCCAGCAGCTAATCATTTCACAAGTTACGCCATTTTGGGGGAAGGAAACAGGTTGTCTGGAGCTTATCTTTCAAGAATTTAAGTCAGGGGACAAAGCCTACTAAAATCAGAAATGGGTTCAGGATGGAGCGTCCTTAGCCACTGCAACCCCACTGGCTCTCCATCTTCTGACTCCAGTCCCTGAGTTGTGCTGAGCACAGGCTGTTACCAAGCCTGCAGGGCTCTCATTTTAGCAGAGGTGGTTCTACTTTAATGTACATCAGTCAACAATGTAAAATGTGGGGTTGATTGGGATGCCAATGAATAGTAAAAGACTGGGCCCGGCTGTGGCTGGAAAAAGAGAGGTAAGCCATGGGGACCAAGAAAAAAGGAGACTGGTACCAAGCAGAAGCCTCCGCTCATTCCTTTGCCCTTACAGCTGAAGTTTTTCTGAGCCATATCTATATTTCCCATAAACTCATGAGTTCTTGGCATAGAAACGTTTTTCACCTAAGGCAGCACAACAAATGTACTTCCTTCACAATTAAAATCTAGTCCTCCATGGTTCTGTGAAACCATCTCTGCTAAGGAAACCACTTGTTCAAGTTGCCTGATGGAGCTCTTTAGGTGCTGAGTCTTGGTCTACTTAATTACTGAGTATTTTAAAATTCTGGTCTTAAATAACTAGGGCTGACACTCCCAAGGCGATTCTTGCTCTCAGGAGGAGAAGTTTAACTATATAGCTGAGACTGCTATTCTCTTTATTCTAACAGACCCTGCTGGACCTCACAGTGGGAATATCCTTTATATGTAGGCAAGTTTTCTACCCTTCTCTCCAGTATACATGTCTACTTGGGAGAGGATATAGGCTTGAATACAGAGATTTCCTTCCTGGGGCCAAAATTGAAGGTGTTCAGCTGTTACATATCTAGCAAGCTCAAATATACAGGCCCAGCATGTCCTTAATAGGCATTAGAGGTACATTCTAATATGCTCAGAGCAGTTGATGTATAAATGAATACTCAGGTTTTGCTATAATGTGAAGCTGGCTAATTACAAATTGAAGAGATTAACCTTTTGGAAATCTCCCAGGGTGAGTCTAGTTTCTTCATTTTACTATTTAAATTTTCCAGTTGGGATAATAGAGAGATTGATCCCTATCTCTACATAAAAGAGAGGTCTGGACCTTGATAAAACCAATAATCTCTTCCAAGGCTGGGGTGTGTATGATTTATCCAATTATGCAATAACTTCAAGTCTTGAGCTCAAGGGAATCACTAGGGGATAAAACTTGTAGGTGTGTTCTGGAGTAGGACTGAAGCTATCTATTACTGCAGCCCCTTGACCATGACTGTGGATAGATTCACCACCATGGGTGAAATGGCCTGAGGAGTTAGGATAGAGAAAGGATACACCCCAATCCCTGGTTGAGGCAACCAGCTCCTTTCAGGACCTATGGGATTGGCTCTGTAGTGTGGAACCTTTTTCTGTATAGTGAATTCTACACCAGGACTGTTTCCATAATTCTTAAATTTAAGTACAAATCCCCAGGTCCGGCCAGTAAGCCAGTATTTGGCACTCAATTCATTCCAAGTCACAATCTTTAAAGTAAAGGGATTACAGGTCCCAGGTCTGCAATCCCGGGAAGGATATATCCGTTGAATGGAGATGTATGGGTCTTTATGTCCACCCTGGTCAGACTCAGTCTCGCAACCTGGGCTGGAGCAGTGATAATCCTTTTCCCATCTGTGACAGTGTGTAGGCCCGTCAGCCGGGCATGCGTAAAATGGTGAAGACCAAAAGGATATTTCCTGCATTTTGGTCCCACACCCTGGGTGAACTGGACTATAAATTCCCCATTCAGCCATAAGTTCATTGTTATCAAAGAAATCACACAGGTCGAATTTAAACACAGGTTGGGAGTTGACATTCTGGAAAAGACCTATTATTTTCCTATCTGAGGTTCGAGACAGCTCCCAATCCCAGGCTTCCACATTGTTAGCTGGCTGGGAGTAACCTATCAAGATTCCCCAAATCAGTGCCAGTCTGAGTTCAAGGTATACATGAGCCACACCTTTAGAGGGCATTGGGAACATTGCATTACCCTCCAGCTGTCACCTTTCTCCTGGCTGGTTGTATATGCCTTCAGATGGAAGTGGTAGATCCAAGCTGCAGTCCCTGCTACCTTGATGGCTCTTGGCGTTGTTGGGATCACAGGATATGGTCCCTCAAAGGAAGGTTCCAGAGTCTTGCTAGGTAAGTGGCAAGTCTCCAAGTTGAAACCTGTGTGCTGTTCAGTCAAGGGTAGCACAAGTGGTGGGCATAACAGACGACTCTGGATTCTCTAGTTGTCTGCTGCAGTGCCTGTAAGGACTTGAAGGAATGATTAGACATTTCAATAATCTGTGGCCTTCCCTTGACCAGAACAGTAGATGTGGCTGGCCAAACATTTCAAATGGTGTCAACCTGTCCTGGCAGGGGGAACACCTGACCCTAAAAAGAATGGCAGTTTTGCCATTTTTGGCCCAGAATTTAATGTTTAACTGTTCTGTTAGTTCTCTCTACCTGTCCCGAACTCTATGATCTCCAACATGTTCCTAGGGTTTTAGCTCATAACCATCTATGAGATCTGGTGCCCTCTTCTGGCCAAGAGTGGGCTGAGTCCATCCATGTCATTAATCCAAAAAATGTCCTATAGGCTTCCCTACAAGCCGATTGTATTGATGGAGGTATTTCCTCAACTGAGATCTCCTCCTCCCAGATGACTCTACCTTGCATCAAGTTGGAAACTATGAAACTAACTGTCTTAGCCAATGTTCTATTTCTGTTAAGAGACACTATGACCAGTACAACTCTTATAAGGGAAAACATTTAATTGAAGTTTGCTTACAGTTTCAGAGGGCTATTAGTTCATCATCATGGCAGGAAGTAGGGCAGCATCCAGGCAGATGTGGTGCTGGAGAAGTAACACATCCAGATCCACAGGCAGCAGGAAGAGAGAGACACTGGCCTGGCTTGAGCCTGTGAAACCTCAAAGCTCACCTACAGTGACACACTTCCTCCAACAAGGCTATACCTCTCAATCATTCCTAATAGTGCTGCTCCCCACTGATCCATCAACTAAACGTGTCCCAAGGGGCTGGCTCAGGGGTTAAGAACACTGACTGCTCTTTCAGAGGTCCTGAGTTCAATTCCCAGCAACCACATGGTGGCTCACAACTACCTTTTTTTTTTTTTTTTTTGTGATTTTTCGAGACAGGGTTTCTCTGTGTAGCCCTGGGTGTCCTGGAACTCACTCTGTAGACCAGGCTGGCCTCGAACTCAGAAATCCGCCTGCCTCTGCCTCCCAAGTGCTGGGATTAAAGGCGTGCACCACCACCACCTGGCGCTCACAACCATCTTTAATGAGATCTGCTGCCTTCTTCTGGTGTGTCTGAAGACAGCAACAGTGTACTCATACATAAAATAAATCTTAAAAAAAAAAAAAAAGCGTTCCAAATGTGAGGCGATATTTGAGGAGGTTGATATGGGTTATTGCACTAGTTGGTGTGGTAGTTGGATGAGAATGGCCATTCTTATGCTGGGCCCTCCACCCATATTTTCTTTTCCTTAGCTCTCTTCTCTTCTAATCCACAATTAAAGATTTCTTGATGGCCCTGCTTTGGCTCTATATTTCTCATCTATTTCCACAGCTGTAACCATCCCTATAAAGATGATGTCTTAAGCTTTCTTTCTTTCTCAGAAACATCTTTCTCTGCATCCCAGAATTACTTAGATATAGCACTGGAACTTTAAACTTGAAATAGTGAAAAAGAATATTTTTTAAAATTGTTTCTTAATTGCATTTTCTTGTGTGTGTATGTGTTCATGTGGGCACACCTGTGCCATGGCTCATGAGCCAGAGCTCACATGTGGAAATCAGAGGGCAACTTGCAAGGGTCTGATTTCTCTTTCCGTGATGTGGAATCAAACTCAGGTTACTGGTTTGATGGCAGGTATCTGTACCTGCTGAGACCTCCCACCAAAGAATTCATTCCAATAGCGCTTCCAAATCTGTTCCTTTTTCTTCATTTTTAAATCCTATTAATAATTAGTATTGCCCTTTTGTCCAGTAAATCATGCTCAGGAATTTGTGGATTATCTAGGTTTCCATGTATCTCCAAGGTTTTGTTTTGAGATGGTTTCATATAGTGTAGACTGGCCTTAAACACGCCAGGTAGCTAAGGCTTACTTTGAAATTCCTAATTCTATAATTCTGAATTAGGGACGTGTGCCACCAAACCCACACTGCAAACTATTATTCATCAAATTGAGGGATGAAGAGAAAAGACTTAAAAATAATTTTAATTGTCTTAGAAGTACTCAATACTGAGAAAGGAAATACAAGGGCAGCAAGTTGAGGTAAGCATATGAGTTCATGGTAAACCTTGGTGAATATGAGGTGCAAAAATTCAAATATTGATTACCCAGATGAATATGTGAATGAGAGGACTATAAACTTCTATCAAATACCTATTGAGAGAGAACAAATCACCCCGCAGTGGCAGCTAAAATGAACAAAGGCTTACTCGGTTTTTATAAGAAAGCTAGGAGCAGCATAGCTGGATGGTTCTGACTTGGAGTCTCTCATGTGTCTGCAAAGGCTTTACTTCATGCATGTGGTGACTGGCTGGTTGCCAGAGTCGCCTCGCAGTGTATCAGCTGGCTTCCCTCTCTCTAGGGCCACCTTACGAATGAGTGATTGAGAGGGAGTTGTAAAGATTAAAAATGACATGCATGAATGATAGTAATCATAAATCTAATTTCAGAAATGACACTGAGATGAGAGTACTGCTCTATAGCTCAGAGTGGCCTAGAACTCACTGCAATCCTTCTGTTAGAGGCCCCTCACTCAGTACGGGGATTGTAAGTACCACGCTGTGCTTGGCGGCCTAACACATTTCCAATACACTATTAGAAAGAACCAAGTCACTAAATCAGCTCACACTGAAGGAGGTTTGTAGGGGGTGTGTGTGTTGAAGCTCTATTACTTGAAAGTAAGAATATCAAAGAGTTCTAGATCTTTCACTTTGCAAAACCACAACCAGACCAACTTTCCTAAAGGGAAAGTCATCACTTTTCCTTTGCTACTAGTACTTTTTATTTCTTTCACGTGTAACTGCAGTTTGATAACTAGTTGCTTTGTCAGTTTTAAAAGCCTCATATCCTATCTCTTCAGTTTGCAATTTTTTGGCTCTAGTCACTGTTTCCAGTCACCTCCAGGATCTATCATCTGAATTCATGTAATTTCCTTGGCCCAAAAGCCTGGTGTTTGGGGCCGGAGAGATGGAGTTAAGAGCACTGCTTGCTCTCCCAGAAGACTATGGTTTGGTTTGCAGCATCCACATGGTGGTTTCCAACCATCTGCAATTCCAGTTCTAGGAGGATCGAGCACTCTCTCCTGGCCTCCAGCAGCACTCTCCACATGTGGTCCACAGATATGTATGCTAGTAAAACATCCATACACATAAAATAATAAATCTCTTAAAACAAACCACCACCACCAGCAACAACAAGTCCTAATCCCAGCACTTGGGAGACAGAGGCAGGCAGGTTTCTGTGAGCTTAAGGTCAGCCTGGTCCTCAAAGAGAGATCCAGGACAGCCAGGGCTGTTACACAGAGAAACTCTGTCTCGAAAAACCAAAAAAAGTCTGGTTTTCAAACTTGAATACAGGCAAGAGAACACCTAAGACCACCAATGCTCTTTGGAGTGTGTTAGGAAGCCTGCATACTTCAAGCCCAATGTAGCAACTCATTGCAATATGCTAAAAGTCAATCTTATACTAGATTCGAAAAGAGACAAGTAGAAGCAGGTGCCAATGACTTCTCTAAAAATGTATTCTACACGTTAAATTAAGACATGGGTCTCATCAGACACAAGTAGAGCGTGATTCTTTCGTACAAGGGGGCACTTTTGGAAAACAACTGACTATGGTGATCATTTTATTCCCACACAGCTGCTGAGGGAAGCCTGTCATTATCCTTAAGATCTACCTAAAAGTTCCTAAATAAATTATGTAACAGTGCCGATACAAGTTGGGGGACAAGCGACTCTCTCACTCTTGTAAATCTAGCGTCTGAGACGTGGGGAAGGAGGCTCACTCAGGTAATCCTGGGCTATATAGGAAGATCTTGACTTAAGTGGGGGCGTATTGGTGGATGCTTTTAATCCTAGCACCCTGAAACCTGAAACAGGAGGATCTCAGTGAGTTCGAGGTCAGACTGGTCTACATAGAGAATTCCAGAACAGCCAGAACTGCCATAATAGAGTCCCTGTCTCGATAATAGTGAACCTGTCACGAACCAAACAAAAATAAAAACTGGTGGTACCATTCAGAGCTCCGTGTACTGACTGAGAACAACCTCAAATACTCGGTATGAGGCAAGGTCAGCACAGTGGGTATGCCTGGCAACCACAAGTCATTTAAGATGTTCTGGCGTATTCCCCTATGCGTTCGTGCTCAGGTCTTACCTGGGACGAAGCTCCTGAGACCGACTCATTTTTTCGTTTCTCGCGCAGCATCACGCGCCTAATGTTGGCAGTTCCTCTTTATTTCATGGGAATACCATCAATTTGGGGAAACCGACACCTGAAGCCATAGCAGAGTGTGAAGCCGCGGCTTCCCGCACTTCAGAAGACAGCACGGGACTGAGGACAAGTCTCTAGTCTCTCCTTGGGGCGCTCTCTCGGTGTTCTCAGGAGAAGAGCGACAGGGTTTGCGAGGCCTGGCGCCTTAGAAAGAGCCGGACACAAGAGAGACGTTTATACTGGAATAACTCTGGGAACAGCCTATGTCCTCAACACCAACTACTCCAGAGGGCGGGACCGGCATCGAATTCCACGCCTTACAGGAAGTGACGTAAGTAACCACCGCAGCATTACCCTCTGCTTCCGGTTCCGGGCCTTCGGGTTGCGCGTACGCATGCATTCAGACTCCTGAGTTCCACACGAGGCGACATGAAGGTTTCAGAACCCGACTCTCCCCGTGCCTCGGCTGCTACGGCGACCACCACCGAGGTGCAAGCGGCCGCGACCGCTCTTGTACAGCTGGACAGAGAGCAGGCGAGTGGCTTTTGGGGACAACGACTCGGAAGCAGGGTGGTTAGGACCCGCGTGAGGCGCAGGGTGTAGGGCGAGAGGCCTGGAAATCAAGTGGGCCCGCGACTGCGTGACTCCCCGGAGCTCGAGGCAGGCTCTGAAAACGCACCCCAGTGGGCTTGCTTTTCTCACACTTATGGCCTGTTTGCCTCCTTTTGAAAATGGGCTTCTGCGCTCCGTTCTGCAGCATTACAGTACGTGCACAAAGTGATTTTAGTGCCGAGCACATGACGCTCAATAAATGCTCCCCGCACTATGCGCTTTTCCTGATTGTTTCCTTTCTCGTAGAGGGCAGGAGAAGCTTCCGAATAGCCCTTTCTCTTATGTAGAAAAGACAATTTGTAAACAGATTCTGGAAGCATGTACTTAGATGTTTTAGACGGATTTTTAGATTGCACAGGGTACAAATTGTAAGATCCTAATATGCTGATGAAATTTGCCCAGTAAAAAGAGGAGCGCCAGGCTTAACGCGCACACCTTTAATCCCAGCACGCGGGAGAGAGGCAGACGAATCTTTTAAATTTGACGCCAGCCTGGACCACATATTTCAGGACAGCCAGAGCTATACAGGAAAACCCTCTCTTGTAACGCCCCCTGCCCCGGCTCCCAAAGGACCAAAGGAAACAAATATGTCTGTGTGGGAGCAATTAACGTAGATTGAGAAAACTAATTTATTTCTCTGTCTCTGCAGATTAGAAAGGCGGTGGAAGTTCTGTTTGATAACTCGAAATCCAAAAAAAACAATAATGAATTGCTGTTGAATGGGAGCGAAAATTTATTTTTAATGGTGATATTATGGAAAATTCCAAAGAAAGAACTTCGAGTCAGAGTGTAAGTTCTTATCTGTTGAGAGTTGTTTGGTTGGTTTTTTTTTTTGTTTGTTTGTTTATTTGTTTTGGTTTGGGCTGGTTTGTTGATACTAAGGCTTGCTTGGCCCCAAACTCACAGTAATAGATCTGCCTTTTCCTCTTAAGTGCTGAGGTTAAAGGTGCCCACCTTTTAATTTTTAAAAATCACTTAGAATGTCAGTGTCTAGTGTAAGAATGTGGGCCACATGTGTCCAGTGCTTTCAGAAGCCAAAAGAGGGTTTCAGATCACCTGGACTGCAGAGATGAGGTTTGGAGCAGCCAATTGTAGGTACAGGTAACAAAATCAAATCTCCCAGGAAAGCAGCAAATGCTCTTAACTGCTGAATGTATTCGATCCTGCATTTGGTCTCTGTAACGCAATATTTTCTTTTTTAGAGCCAGAAGTAGCAGGGGCAGGCAGATCTCTTGAGTTTGAAGCCAGCCTTGTTTTCAGAGCTAGTTCTAAGATAGCCAGTGCCACCCAGAGAAACCATGTCATGGAAATAAATAAATAAAAATATTTTTAAAGAGCATTTAGTTGTGTTTGTCTGTCTGGAGGGTGAGGTGCACACACATGGAAGTCAGTATCATTTCTCTCCTACCATGTTGGTCCTGGAGTTTGGACTCTGGTTGTTAGGCCTGGCATTGAGCATGTGTTTTCACCCACTGAGTCACCTGGCCTGCCTGTAGTATGTACCGTGTGGTGTGTTCTTGTTAGCTCTCTTGGGCCAACAATGACTTTCAGCGAGGATAAGCATGTGCTGTGGCTAATCCATAATGTGTTTCTGGAATAACACTTTGCTCTGTGTTTGTCATGTTTTACAGGTCTTTGCCTCATAGCATTCTCTCAGAATCCTCAGATGTGTGTCTGTTCACTAAAGATGAATGTGAGTCACCTGAACAGACAGAAGGCTTCTATAAAAAGCTTTTGAAAAAACATGGAGTTAACACTATCTCTCAGGTAGGTGGTTTGCTGATGCATTGAAGTCCTTTCAAAGACTTAACAGAAATGAAGTATGATACACTGCTGTAATCTTTTAGGTCTATTTTCTCTGTAATCAGAAAAAGGTTATGAAATTTCTTGGAGCTAGAGTTACGGGTGGTTGTGAGCTGCCTGAACGGTGCAGGAGGTAAAGCCCAGTTCCTCCAAAGGAGCATCAAGTGCTCTTAACTGCCCAGCCATCTCCAGCCCATTTCTCCTTTTAATGTAAATGTCACTGCTTTCGATTGGCTGTATGTCCTTTTGCTTTTGCTGAAGGTGCTATTTTGATTGGTGCCTGAAAAGCTAAATGCACGTCAGATTTCATATCTTTTTTTTGGGGGGGGGGGGGGTTGAGACAGGGTTTCTCTGTGTAGCCCTGGCTGTCCAGGAACTCACTCTGTAGACCAGGCTGGCCTCGAACTCAGAGATCCGCCTGCCTCTGCCTCCCGAGTGCTGGGATTAAAGGCGTGCACCACCACCGCCCGGCTCGTATCTTATTTTTAATTGTCTTGAGCACAGTGCCTAAGGGAGAATGGAGTTCCCTGCAGCTGGAGTCGCAGAAGGTTGTTTCCATGTGTTTTCTGTGAGAGCAGTCAGAGCTCTGAACCACTGAGCCATCCGTAGTCCCACTGCAGATTGTTTAAAAACCTAATTTTTTGTGTGTTTGTAGAGCATGTTTCCATGTGTTTTCTGTGAGAGCAGTCAGAGCTCTGAACCACTGAGCCATCCGTAGTCCCACTGCAGATTGTTTAAAAACCTAATTTTTTGTGTGTTTGTAGAGCATCACGTGTCTGGCTCTGGCTCGTGATTCTTTATCTTTGTACTCTGTTTCTTTATATTTTTCCTAGTAATAGGAATTGAATCCAAAACCTTACCCAGGCTAGACCAATACACCAAACTGTAGTGTAAACCAGGCTGTCCTCCAATTCAGAACTTCTTTCAAGCTGGGATTTAAGGTGTACACTTCTACACCAGGTACTGTTACCAGACTCCAACATCCTTGCTTTTTAAAAAAATGTCTGGGTGTATTATAAGTACCCTTGTAGACCAGAAGAGAGTCTTGGATTCCCTGGACCTGGAGAGAAGTACACATGGCCACGAGCTACTGTGTGGGTGGTGGAATCAAACCCCCAGGTTTCTGTAAGAGCAGCTAATGCTTTTAACCACTAAGCTGTCTCTGCAGCTCATTTTTGTTTGAGATAGCATCTTGTTCAATTGCCTCAACTGCCCTCAAAGTTAGCATTCCCCAACCTGAGATTCCAAGAACAGGTTATGTCATGTACTTCAGTGCCCCACTGACATTGGGTTTAGCTGCTTAGGAATTCATTAATCTGAGAGGGGCATGGCTTTAGGACCAGTCTGAATAGGAAGTGTTAAACATTTCTCCTCCTGTTTTAGATGCTTAACATTTTATGGTTTCGATCTTGTCTCTGTGTTCTAGATTATCCCTTTTAAAACGTTAAAAACAGAATATAAAGCCTATGAAGCCAAGCTCCGCCTCCTGGGCAGCTTTGACATCTTTATTACTGATGAAAGAATTCGACGGCATTTGCCCACACACATAGGAAGGCATTTCTATCAGAGGAAGAAGTGAGTTTATTTGCAGTGACTGGACTTGAATGCTATGGCGTTTTCTGTGTCTCCTGTGTTCTGTTCTGATGCCTGTGTTTTTATAGAGTTCCAGTATCTGTAAATCTCCTGGCAAAGAATCTGTCCAAAGAGATCGATCGAGGGATCACAGGGACCGTCTTAAACATCTCTAAGCGTGGTTCTTGCAGGTAACAAGGAACATTTATATGAGGTTTCTTTAAACTTTACATGTCAAGGTTTTTGGATCCTGTTTTCCCCCATAAAGAATCATGTTACTAAAACTAGGACTGTATTAAAGCCTAAAATGTTTTTTTGTTGTTGTTCTCTTTTTTTTTTAAAGTCTTCTGGGGGAAAAAGTTTAGGAGTAATTTTAATCCCCCATTAATGAGTTCATTGTCTTTGAATTGTCTTTGTTGTCTTGTTTTTCTGGAGAGGTGAACAAATGTATTCACCCTGGGTAGGGCAGGAACCATAGACTGAGGATGTGATTGTACAGATCTTTCTTGATGAACAGAGAGTTTATTGTGCTGACATAGAGTGGCATATGTGGTGTTACTTACAGAAACATGTCTGACCTGTGATGTAAGCAGCTGTGTCATGAAGGGCCTCCCTTGGCATGGGGTTGTCATGAAAACTGTACCACTGGAGTTCTGTTGCAGTTGCTGGCAACTCCATGGAAAGTGTCTGGTGCTTAGATAGCCTTGAGGAGGAGCTTTTTCAGTGTTGTACCTGCTCAAACCTGCTGTCTCCCCCTTGTTGAGGAATGTTTCAGCTGAAAGGAAGTAGCTACATGTTGATTCCTTCAGTTCGTTCTTACCCAGGATCCTGAACTAGGTAGAGCCTTACACCTAAGCTAAGGAAAAGACGTTTGAAGTCAACCAGATGGTTCAGGTTTATGGCACCTGTCCACCAAGCATGACAACCTGAATTTGGTTCCCAGGACTGTCACTAGTAGGAGAGAACCAGTACTTGTAAATTGTTCTATGACAATCACACAAAACACACATTAGATAAATAAAAAGAAGACGGGAGAGACAACTCATCTATTTTTCAGAGAATCCAGCATTACAAACAGAGGATAACAATTGCTTTCCAACCTTAAGTGGTCAGAGATGGGGCAGTGTGTGGGTCCAGGCTTAGCGTAACAAGCAATGTATATAGATTCCCATTGCATGCTGCTTGCAGGAGGGAAGCCCCTTGGTTGGTTTCAGTTAAATAACTAAGAGGAGTTGTCGTTGGTCCTGGCCTCCTACCCCTTCCTCAGTTACAGGCTGTTGTCAAAGAAGGTTAGAGATATCAAATATAACGGCTCACATTATCCCACCACAAGAGAACCTGAGCTAAGAGGTGCTCTAGTTTGAGGGTAGCCTGTACTGCATGGTGAGTTCAAATTTCTTTGATTATTTCTATTCTCTTTGCCTGGCACAATGGCTTCCTGTCTTGTTTCTTCCTCTTTTCTTCACTTGGGCAAACACCTTCATACACATGCACATACAGAGTAGACAGCCAGCCAGTGTCTGACTAAAGAAAAAGAGCTGGAAAAGAATCTCTCTGCTACCCAGTTGACACTCCATAAAGTGCTACCACGGTGAGCCTCTGGCGAGGGAGTCAGGGACCCAGTGCTACAGGAGCCCTGCTGGGCTTCCTATTCATTTCCTATTCCCCGCCTCTTAGCTGCAGAGATACTTTGGTCTTTGCTAAAATAAGTTATCCATGAGGGACAAGAAGTTTTTACTTCAGAAGGACTCAGCTGAATAGGACGTGCAAACTATGAGGTGTCAATGGCTTTGTTGGGGTGATTGTGCACAAAACAGCTTGGAGGTCAACATGTAGGTTTTCCTGTTTTGTCTTACCTTATTATTATTCTGTATTTAGTGTAGGTATCAGAAGGCAGTTTTCAGGGTCAGTTCTCTTTTTACACTGAAGCCACTGGGATTGAACTCTGTGGCTTTAGCTCAGGTTGTCAGGCTTCTGTGGGAAGTGCCTTCACTTGCAGAGCCATCTTGTGGTCCAACCCCTGGGTGTGTGTTTCTTTCAGCATGGTGATGTTTTACTTCGGGGAGTGGAGTTTTAAAATACAAAAGTTAAAGATTAAAAACTTGATTGCTTTATTAAATTCTAGTACAGTCCGTGTTGGTCACACTGGAATGGAGACTCAGCACATTGTTGACAACATCCTGGCTGTCTCAGAAACGCTTTCAGAAAGATTGCCGGAGGTATAGTATGGCAAGTGCGTGAGTCTGGCTTCCATTCTAAAAAAGCCGAGCATGTGTAGATGACATCATTTCTTTGTTTTAGAGATGGCAGAGTGTGAAACTCTTGTTCCTGAAAACTGAGAAGTCGGTTTCTCTTCCCATCTTTTCCTCATTTGTCACATCTCAGGATGAAAACATCGATTCCTTCCGTAGTGTGAAGAAACAAGTTAGTATAAAAGTTTTAATATTGAGTGGGGCTTAAAATGTGTATCCAAGAGAGATCACAGCAAGTTCAGAGCTGACTTAAGCTATAAGACTGTTTCAAATAAATTAATGCTATAACTGAAGGTATAGATAGCTCAGTGGTAAGGCATATGCTTAATGTATGGGTTCAATCTTAAGGGGAATGGATGTTGAGGCTTATTTTATGTGCCTTGGTGTTTTGACTGCACGTATGTTTATGAACGTCAGAACTGGAATTGGGAGTTGTGAGCCGCCGTGTTGGCACTGAGACTTGAACCTGGGTTCTCTGAAAAAGCAGATGGCTTAACCGCTGAGCTGTCTCTCCAGCCCCAACGAACTCACCTTAATGTTGGGAGCTAGACGACACTGAATGTCTTCCCCTGATGCTATCCGTCTTCATTTTGGAAACAAGATCTTTCGGTGGAGGTCACTGATTGGCTGGACTAGCTGGCCAAGAGCTCCAGGGTTCTTGTATGCACTCACCCACCCATAATTAAGATTGCAGATGCCAGTCATTGTGCCCATCTTTCTGTGTGAGTGGCATGTTTGTGTGTAAACCCTTGGCCAGCTGAGTCCTCTTCCCAGCCCCTAACTTAGTTTTGATGTATCTTAGTACTACAGGTGCTGTTTCCAAATCAGAATGGTGGATGGTGACATGGAGATGAATAACTGATTGGAGTAGTGGTTTGAATTCTCTTTGGCCATGTTAATCGTCTCTACTGAACTTTTCATTTCTGTGTTTTGTCTTATGTCTTTATTTCTAGGAGTTACATACTGTCTTAGTGTCATTGCTGTGAAGAGAGACTGCAGCAACTCTTAGAGCATTTATGTGGGGCTTGCTGACAGTTTCAGAGGTTAAATGATTGGCAGGGAATATGACAACATGCAGGTAGACATGGTGCTGGAGAGTAACTGAGAGTTCCACATCGATATACAGGCAGCAGGCATACTTCCTCCAACAAGGCCTCTGCCTCCTGAGTGGTGCCTCACCATCCCCTGGCTGATTGGTCCTTTCTTTTTCTTTTTCTTTTTTTTTTTTTTTTTTTTTTTTTTGGTTTTTCGAGACAGGGTTTCTCTGCATAGTCCTGGCTGTCCTGGAACTCACTCTGTAGACCAGGCTGGCCTCGAACTCAGAAATCCGCCTGTCTCTGCCTCCCAAGTGCTGGGATTAAAGGCGTGCGCCACCACCGCCCGGCCCTTTCTTTTTCTTTTTCTTTTTTTTTTTTCTTTTTTTTTTTTTCTTTTGGTTGTGTTTTAAATAGGGTCATAGACTCTGTAGGCCAGGCTGGCCTTGAATTCAAACTCACTTTGCCCGTCTCTAGAGTGCATGCTGGGATTGAAGGCATGTACCACCCACCATGCCCGGGTTTACATCCAGCTGTTTGTAGTAAGTGCAGTTGTAACACAAACAGCAAATGTTTCTGTGACAGCTTGTCTCTGTCCATAATCAGCTCATGTTTTATCTCAGTGTAACAAGTTATCTCACACTGAAGAGATTGAGAACCCAGTAGTTGCTGAGCCCACTAGCCTGTGTGCTTCAACATCCCCAACCTGGTGACTGAGACCTAAGGGATTTTTGGAGAACTGCTGGTGCTCATAGCAGCATCTGGGTGTAGATGGGTTTTCCTACTTTGTGGTTCTTCCTTTTCTCATCTTTATCCTCCCAGCTTCACCCCATCATTAGGTAGAGAAAGAGGGGGTGGGGGCGTGAGGGGGGAGATAGCTCCCTGATTTTCATTTCTTTCCTTTTGTTTCTTCTCTGAGCATAATAACAAACCACAACCAACCTCCCTAAATAATCACCCCTCATCATTGCCCTAGCTTTTTATGTCCTCTGAGAAGTTTGCAGAATTCCAAATGATGTGCAGTCAAAGAAACTTAATCTGCAGCTAGCAAAGCCATACCTCTGCTAGAGCATGAAGCAAATCATAGTCGGCTGCTGCAGAGAGTCGGAAGCAGCCACGTGCAACACCAGGGAGTAAGATGAAAGCATGTTGAAGGTTGTTGTTTCTTTGGAGACAGGGTTTCTCAGCCTGCTGGTCCTAGAGTCACTCTGTACAACAGGCTAACCTCATATTCACAAGAACCTACCCACTTCTCCCTCCCAGAGTTTTGGGATTAAAGGTGTGTGCCACCACTTCCAGCTTCCTTGTGTTTTTTAAAAATTACTGCAACTGGATATATCAAGTCAGAACCAAAAGGGAAAGCCTGTTGAGTGAAAGGCATTCTGATAACCTTTCTTCCCTTCCACCATGCTCCTTTTTATCTGGGCAGCATCTCAGGATGTACTGCCTAGATTTAGAATAGGATTCCCCTCGGTCTTTTTTTTTTTTTTTTTTTTTTTTTGGTTTTCAAGACAGGATTTCTCTGTGTAGCCCTGGCTGTCCTGGAACTCACTCTGTAGTCCAGGCTGGCCTCGAACTCAGAAATCTGCCTGCCTCTGCCTCCCAAGTGCTGGAATTAAAGGCGTGCGCCACCACTGCCCGGCTCCCAGCATTCATTAAAGGAGTCCATCCAATTTCTCAGTTGAGAGAGGCTCCCTGTTCAAGTTGGACCATCCCAACTCTCAGTCACTGCAGTTGACAGTCTATAAAGAAACAATTAAAGGTACAGGAATGATTGACAGTTTACTATGAGGCAGGAACTGTGAAAGTGCTCTGAATGTACAACCACCCCATCGCACTTTGATAACTGGGGGTTCGAGCCTGTTAGGCTCTGGGTAAAAGTGTTTGCCATGGTAAGTATGGTGTCTGATCATGAGCCAGTCCTGGAGAAGTAGAGAAAGATGGATCCCTGGTGCTCTCTGGTGAATCAGCTTAGTGTACCCAATCATCAAGCCCAAGATCCTATAAAAGGCCCTGTCTTCCAGTGGGTGGCCCCTGGAGAATGCCCTAAGTTGACCTAGGGTGTGAACATACATTTGCTCTTACACAAAAGACAGGTGCATCAGTGATGAATGAAACCAAAATTGGGCTTGGTGATCAAGGGCTCTGCTTCCAGCTTATATTTATTCTGGAGTGTAGCCCCTAATGAGGAAAGTATTCCATAGACTAGTAATGTAGGCACAAGGGCTTAATTTCTTTTGGCCTTAACTTCTACCTCTCAGTTGCATGTGTACATAATCTTCATGGTGGGTATTGAGTACAAGGGCCTTGGACACAGTAGACATATGCTATGACACTAAACTAAACCCACAATTCTTTCTTTTAGTTTGAGACAGAATCTAAGTTTTAAACTTCAATAACTAGCTTAAATTGGCCTTTGAGATTGCTGTCCTCCTGCCTCAGCCTTCCGTGTAGTTAAGATTGCAAGTATGTATTAACATGCTGACAGTACAGTTTCAGCTACACTGTGTGTGTGCTCGTGCGTGCATGTGTATATATGTATCCAAGTCAAAGTAGAAAGCCAGGTAACTGGAGCATGTAATTATAGCATGTGGCAGGCAGGTAGGAGAGGGTTAAGTTTAAGGCAAGCCAGCCTGAGCTATAGATTGAAATGCTTCTCACCCTCCAAACAAATAGACTTCAGTGTAACTATCTGGAAGTGGAGTATTTTTGTGTGGTTCAAGGATGTTTCAGGGAGCTTGTAAATGCTCAGCCTCGGCTTCTAAACCTGTACTACCTGTTTTCTATGGATGGTTCCTACTAAAATTTTATCTGGTGTTCTGGTAGGGACTAAAGAAAAAAAGGAAGTATGAAAACACAAAGTTGAAGAAGGAAAGCAAAATGTTAAAGAAGAAGTCCAAGAAGGCTGCATCTCTTTCAACTCAAGGTGGGTTAGTTAGTGCTCCAGCGAAGGGCCCAGGAACTCAGAAGAAAAAGACCAGCAAGACAAGCACACAGCTGAAAGTTACAGAGGAGTATGAAGAAACAATTCCACAACTGGTACCAATAGGAGAAACTCCAGATAAAGAAAATGTGAAGGTATTTTTATTGATACTAGTAGCTGCTGTGCTTCAGGCAAAAGGTGCTAGGTGATGCCAGGTGGGGTCTCCCGCCTTTACTCCAGCACTTGTGACCCAGAGGACAGCCAGGGCTACACAAAAAGAAACACTGTCTTAGGAAGAAAAGAAAAAGTAAAAATGCTAAGTGATTTTAAAAAAAGTTTAGAGTTAATTCCAGGAACCAGGAAAGCTGATGAAGGCAAATACTGGTCTACTTTAGCATCTTGAATAATCTGAAAGGCCTGTGCTACTTTACAATAGGGCATCTTCTAAAAGTGTATCTCATGTGTAGATGTTCACAAAGTGTCAGTCCATGTGACCTCTCAGTGTTCCTGGATATCAGCACTGAATGTGTCTTCTGCCAGCACAATACAGCATAGTGGTATAATGTTTCTGGTATTGAAGTAGTATACTCTAAAGACTACACATTTGTCTGTAATCTCAGGCTGAGGCAGGTGCATTATCAGTTTGAACCCAGGCTGGTCTACATGATGAGTTCCAGCCATGTCTGGTGCTGGAAAGAGCCCCTCATTTTACCCCGCCGAAGCACACACAGGGCTGCAATCGCAGCAGTGGCTGCTTACATCTGTTTGTTAGATGCTGCTCTTTATTGTTCTGGAATTAACTTTCTCTCTTTCTTTTTTTAAGATGCAAGAAAATGTCACAGGGAAAAAATCTCCAAAATCGAAATCTGGTCCAAATACACCTCAGGGTAAGAAAAGGAAGGCCCAACCAGCTACAGAGACTCCAGAAGCCTCAGATCCTGGGACCTCTGGGAAGAAGCAAAAAAAAGATATTCAGGAATTCAGAAAGCCAGAGGCCAAGTCCTTCTCTACTCCCAGGAAATCTGGAAAGAAAGCTTTCAACACACCCAGAGACAAACAACCCCAGGCAGCCCACTCAAACTAGAAATAGTGCACTGGCATGGAGGACATCAGAGTTAACCTTCTAGAGCTTTTCAAGAATACTTAGACAGGGTGTGGTGGCACACACTCACACACTGGAATGCAGAGATAGGTAGATGTGTGTGAGTTTGAGGCCAGGCTAGTTGTCTACAAAAGTTGGGTCACCTGGGATAAACCAAGATTTAATATTTAAAGGCCAGATTTAAGTCCTGGGCTTGCTGGTATAACACTTTGCCAGCATGTACAAGATCCTGGCTTCAGTACCCAGAACTGTCCCCCCCCCAAAAAAAAACAACCCAGCCAACAAAGGTACTCTGCTGCTGATTCCATCACAGCCTTTTTCAACAAAGAGTCCTGGACTTAAACAGTTTTTGAGAAGTTTCTGTGGGTGCCTCTGAATTTAATATTTCTGTTGTAGAAACTAGGGGGTTTGAGGCACAAAAATATTTTTAAATTGTTCAGTGTATTTGCTGATGTTTGTTTTTTTGTTTTGTTTTGTTTTTTTAATTAAACTATTACATCCCCTTCTGGGTAAATTCACTGTGTTCTTGGTGTTTCACATCTCACCTAACTAATTTTGAAGACATGTAGGAAACTCTAGGGTTGGAGACATAGTTCAGGTGGTCCTACTGTTCAGAGGACTCACGTTCAATTCCTAGGACCATCATGATGGCTCTCAGTTTTAACTCCAATTCCAGGGGTTTGAGGCGAAATGGTGCACATATTTGGACAGACAAAATACCCCAACAACAACAATCAGCTACAAAATGGAGCAGAGGTTTCTTGATTTGTATGGCTTGTCTGGAAGGGTTTTTTTGTTTTGTTTTTCGAGACAGGGTTTCTCTGTGTAGTTCTGGCTGTCCTGGAACTCACTCTGTAGACCAGGCTGGCCTCGAACTCAGAAATCCACCTGCCTCTGCCTCCCAAGTGCTGGGATTAAAGGCATGCGCCACCACCGCCCAGCAAGGAAGGGTTTTTTTTAATAAGCACGACAAAAGTGTATTGATGCAGTGCCTCTGTTTAAAACCAGACACATTTAGACTAAGTGGAGTATAGACAGTGCATTATAGTTGCTTCTGAATTAAACTAGAAAGCCACCCTAAGAAGTGACCCATTTCCGGGCAATGGTGGCGCACGCCTTTAATCCCAGCACTTGGGAGGCAGAGGCAGGCGGATTTCTGAGTTCGAGAGTTCGAGGCTAACCTGGTCTACAGAGTGAGTTCCAGGACAGCCAGGGCTACACCAAGAAACCCTGTCTGGAAAAACCAAACCAAGAAAAAAAAAAAGTGCTGCCCATGACTGCAAAAGCTAGTGTCCCTTGCCTATGACCTCATCATCACTTGGGAGGTATAGGAGGATCAAGACTTCCAAGTCAAGCTTGAGATATACAAAGCTTTAAAATACTTTCTGGGACTTAATGAAGCATAAAAAACAAACAAACAAAAAAAAAACTGCCTGGGTGGATTTCTGAGTTCAAGGCCAGCCTGGTCAACAGATTGAGTTCCAGGACAGCCAGGGCTACACAGAGAAACCCTGTCTCAAAAAAAAAAAAAAAAAAAAGCTGCCTGGGTACTCAGGAACTAGAGCCTATGACCATAAATAAAGTTGTAGCTGGTCCTGGACCAGCAAAATAATTCATAAGATGTGTTCCAAAAGAGATCTCCCTCAATTCTTGTTGTCTGTCCTAAAAGGTTTAAAACTTAAAATATTTCCCATGTGACATTAAAATTTCTACTTTTGTTATTAAAACTGGAGAGGCAGAATGGAGCTCAGTATTAAATGATGAGCCTACATAGCACCGCTGTTTTGAAATGATGTTTAAACTGCTTTCTGTGATCTGTGACCACTCAGTGTGGGTTAGGCAGAGTTAGCTGTCAAGTGATTCCTGTGCTCAAATAGTCTGAAGTAGGGCGTGTGTTAGCTGTAAAGCACCTATGTTAGTAACATCCTGGGCCAGGAGTTGTGATGAGGCATTTAGTCTCATCACTCCTGAGGCAGAGGAAGGAGAATCTCGAGTTCTTGGCCAGCCTAGTCTACATAGCAAGTTCCAGCGTCCCAGTGCTTCAAAGACCCTGTCTAAGTTTGTTTTTAATTTTAAAAAAGCAAGCTTGGGGGTGGGGAGGACTGGAGAGATGGCTCAGCGGTTAGGAGCACTGACTGTTCTTCCATAGACTGAGTTCAATTCCCAGCAACCACATGGTGGCTCACAACCATCCGTAATAGGATCCGATTTCCTCTTCTGGCGTGTCTGAAGACAGTGATAGTATACATAAAATATTTTAAAAAGTCATTAAAAAGAAAAGGAAGCCCAGGAGTGTTAGTGTACACCTGTAATCCTAGCACTTGGGAGGCAGAGGCAGGAGGATCTCTGTGACTTTGAAGCCAGCCTAGTCTATAGAGGGAGTTGCAGGATAGCTGGGACTACACGGACACCTTAAAAATAAAAAAAGAGTAACATCCTTTACCAAATTCTCAGCACGTGAAGACAAGCATAGACTCCAGCAGTGAAACCTCTTCCAGTGTAGAAGTATCTCACATAGGCTTCTCCAGGGAGCTGCTCTGTGCTGTGCATGTGTCTGTAGAATAGTTGACACATTCACATTGGTCAGTGAATTAAGAGGATACTGTGGTGAGTGGAACTCCTTCCCCCACTTCCCTGGCATGAGAGGTCTGGTTGCTTCTCTGCACTCAAGGGCCTATGCATAAAGATGAGGCATAGCCCTGCTGACTCCCCACTGAAGGACACTCCTCTGAAAGTCCTTGCTGCTTTGGAAGAAACCATTTCTGGCATTTGGCTTACTTAAAAGGTACCCATTGCACCAGGTGAGAAAAGCTCACTTCTTTTATACAACTAGCATGCACCCTGCCTAATGCCAACCGAAGGTTCTTCTGAAGACAGCTTTACACATGTGCATGTACGAAGAAGCTCTGCCGAGCTTCACAGCTTATACACGGGTGCATGCAAAGTTACCATTTGCATTTCTGCACCTTGGAGAGGATGTTTGTTCTTATCGTGAACTATTTTTCTTAATGTACTAAGATCCTCAATGTCCCAGAACTGAAGAGATGTCTCTGTACTTAAGAACTTATTTTTGTAGAGGACCAATGTTCTATTCCTTCCACCCACATGGATAATCATAACTTTCTATGACTCCAATTCCAGGGAATATGATGCCCTCTCTTGAACACTGAGGGCATCCAGCATGCAAGCAGTACACCAAAAAACATGCAAACACAAAATCACTCATAGAAATACATAGAAACAAAACAGTTATACACATAAAAAAAGTATCTCATGATTCATAGGTGATTTTTTATACTTTAAAGATCTTAAAACTTTACATTTTATTCATTAAAAATACAACACTTACAGTAATATTTATGTATTTATTTTTGGTTTTGTAGACCAGGTTCCTCTGTGTAGCCCTTACTGTCCTGGAACTCATTCTGTAACCCAGGCTGGCCTTAAACTCAAGAGATCCACCTGCCTCTGCCTCCTAAGTGCTGGAATTAAGGTCTGTGCCACCACCACCTGGCTATTTTTTTTTTTTAAGATAGAGTGGTCAAGCCAGTTCCATCAGTCAACAGAGTTTCAAAGGAGGAGCAAGGATAGAAAAGAAAAAACAATTAGACATTATAAAATGACTCCAGCCAGTGCTGAGGCTGAAGCAGCTTTATTTTTTTTTCCCAGTCTGCTTTTATATCAATCAACACAGCCAGTTCTTAGATCAAAGACAAAGTAATCAAGCAAATCAATAAACAAAGAGATCACTCCTGGTAGTCATCAAGTAAAGCAGTAAGCAAAGCCCCATGGTCCCTGTTGCTAATCTTATCTGAGCCTACTTCCTTGTCGGAGCCCAGTGACAAACTCCAAATTTCTAGAAGCTGCACCAAAAGGTCTCCACAGTAGAGTTTTGCTATTGTAGCTCTGACTGACATGAAATTATGTAGCCCTGGCTGCACTTGAATTTGTAACAATCTTTTTGACTCAACCTCCCCAAATGCTGGGGTTACAGGCCTTTGCTAGCATGCCCAACCTGAACCAGAGTCTCATGTCTAACCTTGTGTCTCAGGATGGCTTCAAACTCCCCTGCCTCAGGCTCCAAGTGCCGCCTCCTCCTCTGTCCTAGATCTGTTATTGGCAGGCTATCTTGTTGATCAGTGGGGTGGTGTCAGACATTTCTGGCAGGAACCCAGGCTTAGGTTGGTCCTGTGGGAAAAAAAACGAAACCCCTCCAGGCTGTGAAAAGAGGGTCTGGTCCCTTATAATCCCCTCCAAAGGATAGCCCTATCTCACTTGGGTAGGGGTGGGGTTAATTTGGTGTGTGCCAATGGAGGGAGATAGGAAGGTGCTTGGAGTTTTTGTAGATGTTAAATACGTTTAGTGTAGTCAGAGCTTTCATTAACTGTACATTAAGGGGGGTAGGTGGTTGTCTTTTGTTTTAGAAGTTGGGCTTTTAGGGTTTGATGTGTTTTTTCTACTATTCCTTGGCCCTGAATGGTGGGCAATTTCCTATTGTGCGAAGGTTTTGAATTGAGAGCTAGTGAAGGCATGGCCATTATCAGTTTTTATCTGTTGAGAAATGCCCATCATGGCAAAGGCTGAGAACATATGGTGGATTAACCTTTTTGAGTTTTCACTAGTTTGGGCTGTACACCATATAAAATGTGAGTATATATCTATTGTAACAAAAACATATTTTTGTCTATGATTTGGAGTATGTATGACATCGATTTGCCATAAGGAGTTGGATTTGAGACCTCGAGGATTGGTGTCCGTCGTTTGTAATGCTGGGGTGGTAATAAGGAATGCACAAGAGAACATGTTTCTATTGTCCTTTGGACCTGAGCAAAGTGGGAGAAGCAGGCATGAAGCCGTCTCTCTCTCTCTCTCTCTCTCTCTCTCTCTCTCTCTCTCTCTCTCTCTCTCTGTGTGTGTGTGTGTGTGTGTGTGTGTGTGTGTGTGTGTGTGTGTGCAGGAATGGAATTGGTCTGCTTGCTCAGTGCAGGATACGCATGTTCCTGTTGAGGTGGTTTGGTCAGTGAGGGTATTTCCCTCAGGTAACGGGCCTGGCAGGGACTATGAGATCAGACATGCTAGATGTAGATAGTGGAGGCCCTTTCCCTTCAGAGGGTGAGAGGAGAAAGAGGAGTAGAAAGGAAAGTGGGTTGGCCTCTAGTTTGACCAAGGATCTTGACAGCCAAGGGAGCAAATTGACAGCATACACACACACTGAAAGAGTGTTAAGAAAGAGGTTAAGGGGCCCTTGACTTCCTTTAGAACATATTCTTTCTATTTCAGAGAGTGACAGGGCAGCATTCTGAATCGTAGACTAGGGGGCTCATCCTCAGGGGAGTAGTACATTACTGCTGCAGCTCCCCTCCCCCCCATCAGTAAATATTGAGGGGGGCTCTGCAATGGAAAATTCTAGTTCTTTGGAAAGTTAGTTACATCAAATGATGTTTTTTCTGAGACACACAGGTGAAAGGATGTCTTGCTAAAGCAGACATGTGAAAGGCTGTTTTCCTGAAGCAG